CGTCGGAGTTTCACCGACTCGTCAGGAGGCTGAACCCTCAACAGTCTGCAAAATCCCCTCACTGATTACACTGTAAATGATAATCTACCTTAACCAAAATCAAAGTAGACTATCACTCACCCACACCAGATGGAAAACTCTACGGACTGTCGGTTCACACCCCATCACAAGCCAGCAAAACATCCACGAATATATATATAAATTGGGCAGGCCTATAGCCCCAGGTTAGCCCCAGAGCAGCCCTAGGACCACAGAACGATTCTCAGAAATCAATTTGAGTTTCTACCACCATTCCGTGAAAGTGCACTTCAGTCCTTCGGGACATCTGTTGAAATTGGAACAATACAGAGAAGATTAGCATGGCCCCTGTGCAGGGATGAAAGCGCACGTCTTTTTTTTTTTTTTAACAACTTTTTTCAATCATGCAAGCCAGGGAACGGGCATGGGCGAATCACTGCTCCGTGCTTTTTTCGTTTTTTTTTTTTTTTTTAATTGGACCATTTCTCGTTATTTGTGTGTCATCCATGGGCAGGGACCATGCTAATCTTCGCTGTATGGTTCCAATTCTAAGGGATGTCCCAAAGGACAACTGTTCCCATTTTATGCGCACTTAGTTGGGGGCTGATCCACTTGGGTCCTGTGCTCTGTGTCTTCCCTTCCGCTCCTGCTGGGTTGGAGTGGGCACCCTTCTTATATCTGATAGACCAGAACCAGCTATTCTGCTTCACACACAGGGTATATACTCCCTTCTTATATCTGATAGACCAGAACCAGCTATTCTGCTTCACACACCGGGTATATACTATGTACCTTAGAGCTAAAAAATTTCGAGAAAAGGAAAACAGCATTGACTTGACTCCTGCTATTCTGCACCCGCTACTCTGCGCCCCAGATGGCACTCACGTGCAGTCCAGGCACACAATATGTCAAACATGCAGCTATGGCAGACGCCACCACAGATTCACAGCCACCTGCCCCAACATGAACTGTGGCGAGGGTACCTTGTTTGTGCATCTACTATGTCAGAGGCCACTACAGACCCACAGCCGCCTGCCAACACGAACTGTGACACGAATACCTTGTTTGTGCCTCTCTGGGGTGCACCTCCGAAAAACCTGGGCGAGGTTCCAGCTACCAGTCTTGCCCATTTCTCCTCCATAACCCATAAGCAATGACCCTTAGATCATACCACTCCCTAAGCCATGAGGGTCACATTTGGAACCACCAGTCTTGCCCATTACTCCTCCATAAGGCCATAAGCAATGACCCTTAGATCATATTAATCCCTAAGCCATGATGTCACATTTGTCAGAGGTTTCACGGTGAAAAGGTCGAGGGTTCAAACATGGCAACATGCGTCTGCCGGGAGTCGAACCCAGGTCTTTTGCTTGGAAGGCAAATATCCTAACCGTTGGACTACAGACGCTATCTGTTGATGTGGGCAAATCCAAACCCTCCAGTCTTAGTTGGCATCCATCCAGTCGCTGAATGTAACACGAAGAAGCCGCATGACTACGACGCACAGTTCACGCAGTGAACAGCAAAGGATAAAATGGCGAGATGGACTCGGAATACAACAAGACAGAAAAACAACGACACTTCATCTCTTCTTCATAATAACTGAGACGAATACACTCGAAGAAGAATCGCGTGAAGCCAACGAAAGCACAGAGTGAAAATTGTGGTCCCCAACGCTGCGTTCTACCCGGCCCCAGAGCTGTGTGACTGATCAGAGGGAATAGCACTTTCCCCTTCCCCGATATATACTTCTCGTCGTGAGGCATTTCCAGTCCTGAATTACCAGGTGGGAGCAAAGGGAACAGCTCCTGGGGCCTACTATGAAAAACTTCATTCTGCCTACGATTCCCGGAGGCCTAAAAGCGACTGACTATCTTGTCTAGCCAAAGGAAGGTGTCAGTCGGGTCAAATTCCTAGTCTGTCCACTAAGGCCCTCCGCACGGGGGGTACCCGTCTCACAAAATTATGGACCCCTCGGTGAAAGGAGTCCGCAGGGTACCTCTGCCGTCTGATCGTGCACTTCAGGGAAGGGAGACTCACAGCTACCCGATTTTATGATTATAATTTGACAACCATGATTAATTGACTTAGTTTGTTCGTCAGTTTGTTCGTCAGTTAGTTACATAGTTAAGTGCTTACTTGGATGGAATTTACAGAACTTAGACCAATGGGCCTAGCTGAGTTGGTACCTCCATCAACTGTTGAAATACAGACCTGAGTTCAAATCCAGTGGCAATCAGGTGAATAGAACAATAATGAATTCTGAATTACCTTGGGCCAGTCAGTTCAATGATGGTATCACAAGGCTGTCACCCCCTTTCCCTTTTTTCCAACTACGTTAACTTGCTGAGTTATCCAATGAGTGGTGGTTACTGGTAGCAATTCTAAAGAACACCTATCCAAAACCATGCTGCACGGAAAAAAAAAAAGGACAAACCGGTGCAGGCTCAATTTATTTTCGTTTTGGCTGGCAGCGCTAACCATTGACTTACCGTGAGGGCACCAGTGCACAGCCCTTAGTTTGTCTGTTGACGTGGTTTGCCATGTTCACTCTACACAACTCCAAGATTGTGTGTGTGTGTGTGCTGTCTCTTATACACATCTAGATGTGTATAAGAGACAGGAGACCGCCCGTGCATCTGGCGGGAAATTTCAAATTTGGGC